CTGCGGAAGACGCTACAAATCGTCGGAGCCAATCCCATGGCGTGTGAGCGTCACGTTCCCTTCGGAGAGCCGCAGCAACGCGCGGAGCGTATACAGTCACGTGACATGTCCACAGCGCTGGATTGGGGTGGCTTCAATGTCCTCCGGTACAGTCCATCGGGAAGTGCCGTGCCTGCGTGGGGGCCACGGGCACAGCCAAACTCGTTTTACCCCTGACGGCTTCGTGGATCGGCACGTCGTCGACCGGCAGCTCTTGCGTGAAGGATCACCCGCCTCGTCGGCGCGGCATGCGGACCCTTTGTCGTCGCGGCGTTCTCTGCGGCTGCGCCTCCTGCGGCGCTGCGAGGTGGTTGTCTCGTACGAATGAACGGGTTTCGATTCGCTCGTTGCTGCGAGCGTCACTGTCATGGCCAAGTGTTTTCGCCGATGGTGACGGCCCGCAGCTGGAGTGATCGCGGTCCGCCCTCCACCGTGTACATATACTTTTCTCGGTTATAGACTTATAGCGGTGTGGTGGTTGTTGTTTCGCGGATTTCGTGGGCGCTGCGTGGTGATGTTAATTGAGGAATGGAGTACGCGGGTTGTTCGTCTCAGAATAGGGTCTACATGTGAACGCTGTAACGTTGAAGCTGATGCGTCTGTCTCGTGCCTCGCTACCCACATAGTAATGACAGTGCTGGCCATTTGCGAATCTCAAAGTTTGATGTAGTGTAGAGAGCAATGGCATTTAGGTATATGCACGGCACTGTTAGCGCGAACACAGCATCGGCGCTTTTTCGCGTTTTATTTTGAAAGGGTTGACGGGCACCCAACTTTAGAGCTCAGGTTAGTGCCTCAACTAAGCACTTTCGGCCACACTATAGTAGTTTCTTATGACCTACCTTTCGATTCTAAGAGAGCGTAAAGACCGCTGATCGCTCGTTTGCGTTACCGGTGGCGTGATGCGCGTACAATAGGTTTCTACTCTTTCCCGTTTAGCTATCGATTCTTTCCGATATAAATAAGATAATCCTACTTGCGGAATATTCGCCGAGGCAAGCATGGCACCTTTGTGCGGTGCCAAATTACCGAGACGAGCTCAAGATGGGTACTAGAAAAACCTAAAAAAATAAAATCGAAAACGCAGAGACAAAGAGGGCGCACCCCGTCCACAGTCGAACGTGGCAGCAACAAAGAACGACAGCTAAATTCGTTAATCTTTATCTTTTTTTATATATATATATATGAAGTGTTTAACAACCAGCCTGCATCGTTTTTTCTTTTTTTTTGCTGTCTGAGCTTGCGGTCGTTGCTGCCGTCGCAGATGGGAAGCCTTGTGAAACGACTCGTGTATAATTGCGTCTGCCTTCCTCCGTACGACTCCTTGACTCCCAGAGAAATTCAATTAGGACTCCGAGTCTCGGGACGGCTGCAGCTATATAGCCGCGCAGCGGCAATTACACGCACCCGCTGCTTCACTGAAACACGACGAAGGCGGCACTTCGCTTCGTCTGTTTCGGTCTTGTTATACAAGTCTATTCGCGTGTTCGAACGATACCACCTAGAAGAGAAGGCCGGCGCCTTCTCCCCTTAAACGTCAGCACTAGATGATCAACGCAGCGACGCCTATGCGGAACGCAAGTTCGTCTGCTTCTTTTGCAGGGGTTGTGGTGACGTCAGAAAGACGCCGAGCTCTCATTGGCTCTGATTGAAGGATAGTGGGTAGACCTCAAGGCAGCTTGCCTTGAGATCTACCCACTATCCTTACCCACAACTTATCAGAGCTCGGTGTTATGAGGTCATCACAACCCCTGCAAAAAGAAGCAGACGAATTTACGCTCCGTATATTCGGGTCCGCGCGCGTGGATACGGAGGTATGCGGACGAAAATCACCGATGGACACAGCCGATATAGGCAATTAAGAACCGCCAAAGGAGCAACGTTATCGGGTTCGTTGTCTTTCTGTACGCGTGCCATCACCGCGGCTAAGCCTATCAAGCACAGCACATCCGCGGTGGCCCATGCGCTTTGAGCGTGTGCCTCTGTCTGCGTACGCCTTCTAATCGCCGGCTTCGCTGGGAATCGCGACGAAACGAATTATAGCAATGTCCAATGTCCTGAACGCAGAACGTACTCGAGGCTTTTACGACCGGTCACGTGACTGATGACGACGACGACGCAGGTCTTGCCGCCCCTCATGTTCGTCACAAATTACAAATTTGCGACGAACGTCCGGCGGCAAGAGTCGGCGAAAGAACAAAACACCCAACACTTTGTTCTGGCCACGAGTTCGGGTAAGCTAACACCGCCTCGAAGACGCAAGGCCAACTTGTGACGTCATCGTTGGTGGGTCCCCGACCCGCCCCGAAGCATGGATGACGCCGCAAAGCGGCAGGCGTGTGCGTCTTGCCGTCGCTCATGCACGCGAGTCGCTGCAAGACACGCTGGCGGCGATGCTGACCACAAGCAGCGCTGCGTGGATCAACCGACAGTCGACGCGTGAAGAACGGAGGAACGATTTGTAGGCGATGAACATCGGCGATTACGTCAAAGCAGTATTTAGCCTTCGCCGGCGCTTCCGCGCCGTCAAGGGCGCCGGTGGAATGCCCTCCTCGGTCGGGCCTCATCATATGTCGGAGGTGGGCGCGACGCGTCGAGATTGCGAAGCGCCTTGCCGCCTGATTGCACCTCCCCTTAATCGACCCATCTCTCGGCGCTAAAAGACTGGCCGAAATTAATTTCGTTTGGCTCGCGTTTGTATCGATGTGCTTCGGCTCTTGATCGTGCGGCAGTGAGAGCGACGGACTCCAGAATGTCGCATGGTCGACGATGCTTGAGAAAAAAAAAAAAAGAGAAAAAAATGAAAGTTCATCGATGAGACGGTTTCACGTAGTATCCTGTGGACAGTGGTTCTGTAGTTCGATGTGGAAGGGAAGGGGGCACTGTTTTCAAGATGTGCTCAAGCACAATTTTTTTTTTTTTTTTCAACAAGTAGGATCTGGCGACGAACGTTTGAAACCCTTTCGGAAGCAGACGTCTCCAACAGCGTAAAAGCAATAAAGTTCGTCAGCAGACATATAGTAGATCAAATATAAATCTGCAAAGTTCTACGGGCGAATGTCTAAAGGCTGGTTCACACAGCCCCAATCCCTCACGTTACGTTACGTTACGTTACATAAGCTTACGTACGAGCCACCGGGATATCTGTGCTTCATATCGAGCGTGGCTACCAATCCGAGGAGGTATACTTGGCACGCGACATTCGAGACACGAATGTTTCGGTGACTTAGACGTACCGTAAGGAAACGGTGCTGTGTGAAAAGTTTAACCGAGCTCAACTCCTCACGTTACGTTACGACGAGCCTTGTGTCCTTGGTTGCCAAGGACACAGGGCCGTCCTATAGTTCGTCTCATCCTACGATGGACTAAAGGCCAAAGCCACGGGCCGACAGGTCCAATCACGTTCCAAGCTAAACTATGACACGCTTAGCATTGATTAGGTTTAGACGAATAATGCTCCCAATCCAAAAAAGCTGCGTCATTTTTATAGCTCCGACACTGCAAGGAGCCAGTACGTCGTGGCTTTCTTTGCAATGTAAAAATGTCGAGTCACTCATGGCTCGATCCGAACCACTGTCCGCCCATTCCCATCAGTGATCCGAGGCGCGGGCACCGATACGTTCATCGAAGCGAAATACACGCAATGTCTAAGTGGCTCGTGATTGGATCTGGCGGTTAGTAGCTTCTGCCTTTAGTCCATCGTAAGGTGAGACGAAGTATAGCTCGTCGTCACCGAAACATTCGTGTTTAGAATGTCGCGTGCCAGGCTATACTTCGTCTCACCCTGCGATGGACTGAAGACAGAAGCTACGAACCGCCAGATCCAATCACGAGCCACTTGGATATTCTGTGGTATTTCGCTTTGAAGCACGTATCGGTGCCCGCGGCTCGGATCACTGGTGGGAATGGGCCGACAGTGGTTCGGATCGAGCAATGAGTGACTCAACAATTTTACATTGCAAAGAAAGCTACGGCGTACTGGCTCGTTGCAGAGTCGAAACTATAAAAATGACACAGCGTTTTTGGATTCAAAGCATTATTCGCCCAAACGTAATCAGTGCAAAGCGTGTCATAGTTTAGCGTGGAACGTGATTGGACCTGGCGGCCAGTGGCTTTGGCCTTTAGTCCATCGTAGGATGAGACGAAGTATATCTCCTTGAATTGGTAGCCACCCTTAATACGAAGCACAGATTTCTCGGTAACTTGGACGTAAGCTTTCGTAACGTAACGTAACTTAACGCAAGAAAACGGGTCCGTGCGAACCAGCCTTAAGACCCTTTTGCGCGTGCAAACCGAATTATGCATAAGCAGGCATGGGACTGTACTGACAGTGCAGAGGAGAGGAGATAACAGACGATTACTCTGCACTATCAGCACAAGCATGAACGGAGCGAAAATGAGATATAATCAGATCCAGTTACCTCCGAAAGCACGTAGTACGGCCGTTGGCCACAAGGAGGAGGGTGAGGGCACGCATGCGCAGACGAGTTCTAAGAAAATTTTTATGTTGCAGGTTCAAGTCAAAAACGAACTTGGTCTCCAGGACGCTTTCAGAGCAGAAGGTGACGTTTTGCCAATGGACGTGGATTCTGATGGGCTGAAGGCAGCGATTTCATCGGCTTTCGCAACCAGAGACGTCCAGCAATTATTTTCAAGATTTACCTTGGCGGTCATCATAGAACGCGTGGTCGAAAATGGCTGCCAAAGTTGGACCGCGTGGAAGACGCTGTTAGAAATACTCCCGATCATGGACAATCTTCCAGGTCATGGGCATTACTCCAGGTAATAGACATATTGCTATGTATATTACCCTAGGCCACGGACATATTACTCTAGGTCATGGACATACTACTCCAGGTCATGGACATATGTTACTGCAGGTCATGGTCATTACACTTTACATGGAAATATTATGTGAGGTCATGCAAGCTCCAAGAGAGAAAGATCGGGAATCGTCTCACCAGGAAGATGAAGTTGAAGATGTGGAGGATGCACTTGAGGAAGCCCACGCTGCAGCAGCCGTCGTCCTTGGCGCCCCGGCGGTACGTCATGGCGCTGTCCGATCCTGCAACGGCACGACGTCGGCGACGGGGCGCCCAGTCAGGACGGTCCGGCGGCGGATCGCCAGCAGAGACAGCGGCGGCCGCCGGCCGTGCTCGTAGCACGCCGCCACCACTGTCCGGCTGCCGGCTATCGGCCGACGCGCGCGGGTCCAACCCGTAAAACACGTTTTCAGTTGCCATCGACAAGAACGGGACGCGTGGTGCGTGCTGCTGGGTGTATGTTTATGCGCTCGCGCGGCACAAATCGGCGGCCTTGAGGGTCGCAAGGCGAAGATAAAAAGAAAGGAGACGCGGCCGGACTTCTTCTAGGTGCGGCCGTCTCGCGGCAAGCCGCATCAAAGGATGCTCCGGACGTGACGTTGCGTATGCCCGTCGGTTGCACCGCTTCGCTTTTGCCAGCGAAATTCGCCGCGTCATCCCTACAGTTCGGAACGTGGGTGAGGCTTCCACTGAAAGGAAGACTCGTTTCGGCCGAGCTTACGGGGGAGAAATGTGCCCTCTGCAAAGCAAAAGGCTCGTAAGCTGCGAAACGAGATGAGGTTGCGAGCGCCTCTGACAGGCCCGGTTTTTCCGTGTATATCTTATCTCGTTCGGTTACCGTATCTCATCGGATATAATCCGCTCCCATTATGTTTCGTTCACCCCTAAGCTGACGAGGTGTTGGTGGGAGCTACACGCTCGACGACCCAATCAACCGCTTCCCTTTTAATCACTTGACTCCGCTCTCTGCATGAGGTGGGAGCACGATCACGTGGCGAAAGAGACACGCATGATTGGTCCAAGGAGCACGTAGCGTCCACCGCACTGCTCAGCGGTGAACGTGGGTGAATGGAGTAAAGACATAGCCGACGACCAAAAGGTAGTTAATGTCCCTGACGTCACGTAAACGTGGTGACGTTGGCGATGGAACCGCGCATGCGCAATGAGCGCCTGTCAGCAGACGGTTGTTTACAGACAACGATCGAGTTAAAGTTGCAACACACCAGTATCAGGTAACCTCTGTAACCAAATGAAGCGATCTAAAAAAAAGTAAGGGTCAGTTGTGGCTGCGTCTACGCCTAGGGCGGCTCTAATGGATTTATAACCCAATTGTGGAGACATATACAACGCAACAATAAGCGCATACAAAAAAGAAAAAAAGAAGAAGAAGAGCATATATAGAATCACGATGCTCAACACGGTGGATTCCGGAACACGAGTTACCGTCTAATACGATATTCCCGCGAAAGACCGGAGGAAGTTTGATGACGACACATGTAGGATCGATGGGCGTTAATCACAGGAAAGGAAGAGGGTGTCATGAATCAACCCCGTGTACTCGGTCATGTCCTGTTGATCCCAACACATCTGCGCGAAACAGCGAAGATATGCCGCCGGCTCTTGGCGCGTTAGCGCTCACGCCCGTGGAATGCCTCACGCCGGAACGCCCAGGTATTATACACACACACACACACTGCAGTTGAGGTGGGGACACCATAAATACCTCGGGTGGGCGGAATATTCTTTAAACCAACGAAGCCAGTGAAGAAAGTGAAGCAAGGCGAAGACATGAAACGTGGCTCGCGCGGAAAACGATGGGCTCCCACGACCTTGACTCATACCTTCACAAGGAAAGAGTCATTTCTATGCAAGGCACTGTTCCATTTTTTCCAGTTCGCTTTCTTGTTTTATTCTATGTTAATTTTTCAGGAGGCAACTTTTTACTCTAACGTTTGGTTTTTGTTTTTGCACGGCACGCAGCCAAGGGATAAAAGTCCATTAGTGAGCATTTCGTGTCGGGAAAGAGAGAGAGAGAGAGAGATTCTCTTTTATTCCGAAGTCGCCCTTCTCCTGATTGACGTTTGCGTCTTGCCAAGCGAGCGAAGAGATGTCAGTGACCCTCCGCGAACGCTGCTGCTGCTACGTTCGTTTTATATATATTTATTTTAATTATTTCTTTTTGAGATTCCTTTTGTGCGTTCATCTGCGGAGGCTGTTTGCTTTCTGTAGAGCCCTATTCAAACGCCGTCCTCGTTCGTGGTTGGTCCCGGGGCGGTTTTTCTAATGGCAGCAATTGAGATTCCTGTCGCGATTAGAGTCTACAGATCGAGAGAGTGCATCTGATGGCAAACTCAAGAGGTGTGTCCCAGGATGAAACGAGAGGGGGGAAGCTAATCGGAGCTGTTGTTTGTTCGCTTAATTTCGATGCGTTTATAGTATATATTTTTCGGAGAGTTTCGTAGATTGTGTCCCGAATCTCTGGCAATGTCCCTGTTTACGCTTGATCTGGGTGGTCTCCCTCGGGGCTAGTTTTCCAGAGCGTTTGGCCTTACGGTGGAGCGCAGACTACGCTACGAGCCAATCGTAGCGTCGTGACCTTCAAAAAGGGGGGGGGGGGGGGGGGGGGGGACGGCGCCGACGAATGTTAAAATAGTCGAGGCCCGCGAATCGGGATTGTGACGTCATCAGAATGAGATCGAGCGAAGACGTATGATTGGACACGAGTGTGACGTCAGCGTTCGGCTGGGCCTCGCGTCTAATCAACGCGTCGAAGGGCGCTCGACGTCGGGCTCTGGCGTACGTTATTCTATCGGCAAGTTTCGGGCATCTTTTCTTCCTTCAGCAACCAAATTTTGTAGGAACTATTTCGCTCAGCGCTCGAATAATGTGTAAAAAGGCGCATGGTCACACGATATGTTCGCGGTGCCGCTGGATTGGCTGTGATGGGCCCAGCGTCCGCCGCAGTCCGTCGAAAGGTGGGACCTTGCCTGCGGAGAAGTCAAGTGTCGCGCTATTTTGAGGATAAACGGAGAACGCTGGAGGGCGTCTGTTCCCTCTTGTCCGGCGTCTGGTTCTTTTCCTGATGGACGACGTCGTTTGGGCACCCGAGGGACACCCCAAGGACAAGATGGCGCAGATTTTGGCATCCGCTGTTTGAGAGCCCTTTTTCTGGAGGAACCTCGCGCGTTCGTACTTCGAAATATATATTTAATGGTGTGGATGCGTGTCGCTTCGTTTGGGGTAATGTCATGACACGGATGACATGGACATGATACGGACATGACGTGACCAATCAATGCGTCGAATGACCCTTGGCGTCAGGCTCACCCCTTATAAATCGTTCCAAAAAAAAAAAATCGGCGCCCTTATTTTTTGTTTGACGCACTGTGACGTTCCGGTGGCACGTGAGATACTCGAGAAGTCGAAGACGAAGTTGACGTGTTTTTTTCACAAGACAGAAAATACATCAAAGCAGAGTATGCGATCACCTCCTTCTGTGTTCGTTTTATTTCTTTGTGCGTTCTGAGCTCCGGATATTTCAAAAAGGTCTATGGCTGAGTTGGCGCCATCAAAATGTGTCACACAACGGAAATATTCTGTTAAATAATTATTTTATTTTGTTTAAAGTTTATTTTGTGGCATACGTGTCCCAACCAGGCATAAAAAAAAAAAGTGAGTTGATTGCCCCTTTGAGGGGGAGGAAAAGGTGGGTGTGAGCTGTGGGCTGCAGACCATACGGCCTTGCACTGCAAAAGGGCAGTGACCAGTCCCCCTTTGACTACCCAACGAAAACGTCGAATTAACAAAACAACGCCAAGGGCGAGTGGAGGGGGAAAATCCAAACGAAGCGAGCGGTCTTCGCGTGGGACGTCCGATTCACCGAAGGGCGAGGCGCCGGTCGCGATATTAAAGGTGTCCTGTGCGAGCCGGATCTACTTTAGCAGGATTTATAAGTTAATAAACAAAGAGGACGAGATTGCCCGTAATCGCAGATAAAAGCTCACTGCACTCTTCAGCCCTGAGTCACGTTCATAGGGACGCAGACGCGCCTACGTTTCGTTATAAGCGGGTTTTCGTTATAAAGAGTTTTATGTATTAACGGTTTTTGTAACAAGCGGTTTTTCGCTATAAGCATTTTATTGTTATAAGCGTTTTATCGTTATAAGAATTTTCTCGTTATAAGCGGTCAGAAACCTCGGGGATGTTGTGGATGAATCTATTCGATGTCACTTTGCTTTGTAGTGTTGGTAGGGCTTTTTTTTTTAAATTACATAATAGTAAAAACATAAAGGTACGTGCATGAGGGCCCATGCCCTTAAACCTAAATCGCGGGCCGGCTAAGGCTATAAACAGACTTTCGTCGCAAATGGTTTTAATCAGTGCGGCTATTTTGGGTGGATATTTGTCTCGCAGTACATAACAGGTTTTGTCCTCTTGCAAGTATAGTGAAGCTAAAAAGAACGCGTATCGAAATGGGAGATTCGGGTTTGGGGCTACACTACTTCCAACTTGTTTTGCACCCGACGCAAATAGAAGCAACCGTAATTACAACAGGCGCTTTTCATTTCCCCAGTTTGGACAGGCACTGCAATATACGAAAGAAATAAGATTAAGTTGGTTCACTTTAACCGAAAGGCGATCGCCTCCGACGTATATACAAGCAGCGATCAGTGTTAACCGTGTTATTATTTTCACGTCGAACACGGCGGCGTGTCGTGAAGTAACCATAAACTTGTTTCGTCCTTGGGATTTTATTGGCCGTCATTTGTTGCGTTTGTCGTTGTTGTTGTTGCTGCTATTAACGATGTTTGGTGGCGGCGTCCTTGCTTTGCAAAAAAAAAGGCGTTTCGCGACGCGGGAGTGGTGGTGCGCTCACGAAATTGTTGGGCAGTCAGTTTACGATCGGCAATGTGGAGCAGGTACACCGCTGGGCTGGCCCAATTGCTTACCGAAAAAAAAAAGAAATATAAAAAAAAAAAAACATTAAAGGCTAGACTGGCGTGTTCTTCCGACCAAGGAATGTGTTGAATGAATCCAAGTGGCGCTGCGATGTCTCGGTCGGCGTTGGCGCCTCCTGCCGACCACCTATTGAGATGGGGCTTTATATATCCCTGAGCACGGCGACTTATCTTATGAGTCGCAAGCAATGGACAGGTTTCGTTAAGCGAACTTAGCACTCTGTCCAGGCGCGCTCACTAACGACGCGATGAGATGTCCTTGCCGGTTATGATTAAATGAGCAT